GCTTCCAAAAATAAAAGACAAATATACTTTGGAAAAACAGGAATTTTATAGATACTTACAGATGAGGGATTATTACAGAACAGAAGTGAAGGAGTTGTAGATACTCGCTGTGGTTTTTATAATCTGGACACTCTTTTTTCTCAACCATTCAAGTGCAATACACTACATAACTGTTAATTTAAGTCATTGTTTTTGCTATAGCCCTCTGTATTTATTTGTCTATCCTCATCCCCCAATACATCTTCCTACATCTTATTTAATTAATTTTATTTTTCTATTGTATACACTGTGTCTAAACATCCTCTATTTTCTTGTATGTGCAATTTTTCCTGCTACTGGAAATACAATTTCCTGAATGGAGTAATCCCAAGGGATTAATAAAGTCAAGTCTAAGTCTTTACCTGTTAACCCTATAATGCCAAATGTATCATATTTGATACATACGTTTTCTGAAATGTTTTGCATCTGACACCTTTTGCATAATTTAATGGTAAAAACTCAAATTCTTATTGTACACAATCAGATATACCTGATAACAGAGAACAGAAGACTACACAAAACATAATCTTGACTTATCGCATAGTAATAAATTATTAATATCAAAAATTTATTTCTGTTTTTTCTTTTTACATATTTTGTTAAAAGGCCAAATAAGGACTTCAAACCAAAAAAAAATAATTTTCTGTTTTCTTTTATTCTTGGATCGGGCTTTTAAAGGGTTAAAACAGCTAGATTGGTTCTGGTGCCTTTCAGTTTTCAGCCACCTGCCTCCTGGCTCTGCCGCCTGTGGCGCCACAAGGGCGTCACCCTCTGCAATGTAGTAGCATCAGTTTAGCATTTCATCCCATTGTGCACAGCCAGCGACAAAACATTAAATATCACACAATAAACCAAGATATGAGTAGTTGTTTACTGTTTTTATGATTTCTACAGGCAGGTTTACCACAATAGCAGATTAAAACCCTGAAATTATGGCTTCTAGTTTCAGTGGCCACCCCAAGATTTTTAGTGGCCGCATCTGCCCCCCTATTAAACATTTCTGGAAGCACTACTGTCTGCCACTGGCAGTCGTCCTAAAAAAAAATGGAGAGGTATAAAAATGGTATATTTTACGCAGGGGGGGATTTACCATTAGGCAATACTAGGCAGTTGCTTAGGGCCCCAAGTTCCTGGGGGCCCCATAAAACTCTGTTAACATGTATGGTTAACACAGCTATTCCTTACTTGTGCACTTTAATTATGTTTTTGATTAAAAAAAATCCTTTTGCTAAAAGGACAGCAGCAAACCATTTGGAAAAAAAATTATGCAAAGAGCGTTGTCGCACTTTGGCGACTTTTCAGGCACCTCAAGCACCTTAATTTCAAAAATCTAGCGACTTTTTTCTGCTACTGGAGACTTTGGCAACTACATTCATAGGGCCCCCTGCCTGTCTTTGCCTAGGGCCCCAAATTTCCTAAATCCGCCCCCGATTTCATGTCCCAATCATCTCCTGAACCTGTTCCATCAAGTATTATTGTAATCTGTAATTCTGCTGATCTGTTGATAAAAAAAATTGTAATAGTTTACTCATTTACATCATTCATTAAACAAAAGCAACATGGAAATGTAGGCATCTGTTTTGGATTTGCGGGGATGAAATATTTTCAAAGGTTTTCCTCTTACATATTTACAGACAAATGCTGCTATAAACCATTATAAATGAGGACCAGAAAGAGCTGTATGTAAAATTAAATTTGATTTATTTAAGGCTGCCGATAGAACAACTATTCTCACCCGGCAGGAGAAAGACCCACATTTGAGTTATTCCCCCAAAAAAAGAAAAAGAAAATAAATAAAAAATCCACTGGATTTGTTTCCAAGTTTAAAGACGTTTCAAAAAGTGCTACTGTATAAAACCTCAAACTCAACGCTATTCCTGACTTTTGAATTGAAAAAGCTTCCTGGATGGGAAGGAAAACGCTTCAAACGTGAAAAGAAAGACCCGTGGATTGTTTTTCATTTTCTTTTCTTGGAATGACTATGACCTGGATGACTGACCTTTACTGGCATAAACCACATTTTAGATCCGTGTTGTTTTTCTGCTCCGCTGAATAAAAACGGCTCAATATTTGGATTTGATGCGATATCAGTGTTTACTTTCCTTACATGAGGAAATTCCTGCTCTGACTCACTGTTCTCTATAAATGCCAGACTTCTCAACATGCAAATATTAAAAAGAAAGGCATTCAAACTTTGATGAAGAACAGATCTGCTGGATGCTTTTCAGGTTCAGAGCTTTTAAAGCCCCAATATGTTATTATCCAAACTCCAGTGTTGGAGTTAGGTGGTGAAAACTCAGGTCAAATATCATTTAAAGGTTAATTTGTTACACTCCAATGTACATACAGGAAATACAATCACAGGGAATCCTGTATCTGTTGGTCATCGGTGGAAAACTATGCTTTTAATTTGAAGTTATAGTGACAGGAAGTCCAGTGTTTGTTTCTGCTGCCTGAGGAACAGATTTGATAAATCAAACTGGTGGATTAGTACAGAAGAGGATTAGGGCCACTGAAAAACAAAACAAAAAGTTAACTGCTTTTTACATTTTATTTCAGTTTAGTATGGGAAAAAAGTCAGAATTCTGACTTTAATCTCAGAATTCTGACTTTTTTCTCATAATTCTGACTTTAATCTTTAAATTCAGACTTTAATCTCAGAATTCTAACTTTAATCTCAGAATTCTGACTTTAATCTCAAAATTCTGACTTTAATCTCAGAATTCTGACTTTTTTTCCATACTAAACTGAAATAAAATTTAAAAAATCAGTTAACTTTTTTTTTTTCAGTGGCCCTAATCCTCTTCTGTAGATTAGTGCTGGAGACGCTCATCAGGTAAATTCACAGCATTAAAAAATGCTTTTATAAAGATTTTTTTTTTTTTAAGTTTTAGATCTGTGAGCCCTAAAAAGAGCAACATGTTTTCATGTTTTATAATATAAAGGTGGAAAAAAACAGGTAGAATCTATATTAGGTGTATTTCACTGTGTATAACATTTTACTGTTTTTTTTTTAAATTAATTCTAGACTTTTGTTCCTCTTTGCAGTAAAAAATAAAAGCTTAAATTTGAAAAATTGCAAAAGCTATAAAAAGTGGTAAAAAGTTTTCAATCACCTGATCAGTTACTATTACAACATCTTTTTGAGCAAGATTTTTTTTTTTTTAAATGCATTTTCTTTTTTTTTTTTCTAAATAAAGTCAATTTTCACCAAGCAGCAAGTGCGGCACATTGACCTAAAAATGATCCTTTCACAAAGTCATTACACCAGTGGCCACCAGATGGCGGTAGCACACTTCATTCATCCTCAGTGACAATTATTTAATAATTTGAAAATATTTTTACAGATTCTTTCAGGGTTTTAAATCGACTATATTTAGTTTATTTTGGTATTTATATAATTTATTAGCTGCATTAACTGTTTATAATCATCCTTAAAAAAGGAAAAAAAGAGAGATTCATATAAATGGTTAAAAGTGCTTTTAATCTCTTACACCCTCAGGGGGTATAAATAAATTTCTGCCTGACAAAAACACACAAA